AAACTGAAGTGATAAGAATGATACTTACCATTAATAAAGCAAAGAAAAAGCGGAAGATGGCCATAACAGGACTGGTGGTAAAAGCAGAACAGACTCCCAGATAATCTATGTAGCGGAATTCGGCACCAGATCCATTGATGAATCCTGAAGAGAAAAAGGCAGCAGGGACTATCCACACAATAATGACAAGGACCAGAGCTACCCTTGGACTCATGAACCGCTTGTGGAGATGAGGCTTTACAATAAAAAGGAACCGTCATGAGCATGTTATAAGCACAATAGAGTATTATAAAACCATTGAAATCACAGGTTACTTTCTTCTCTTCATCAGTATTACCAATGATCCACTCACCAGCAGCTAATGAAGTGATAGTGAAAGGAAGATAGAGTGTCAATACAAGGTGTGCCAGTATGAGAGAAGTAAAGAATATTGTTGATGATTGTTTCCAGGACTTCCTTTGATAAATAGTAATGACTAGTATCACACCATTAGCTATGAGAGCTAGTATCATCTCAATACTAAGAACTCCTGCTACTGCCTCAGGACTGAAATCACCAGTAAAAGTATAATTCCTTTCCATCCTTTCTATCACAAGACTGAACTGACAAACAAAGATCACTCAATATATGTACACACACACATAACTTATAGCTAAAATACTTCCCTAGAAATGAAACTAGATCTGTTAAGCACTTGCTTGCACAAGATATGTAAACCACAAGTCAGTTTTTGTACACTTGTGCTTCCTTCAATTCACCTAAGGTGAGAGACCTGGGAGATAGCTATGGTCAACTGTTATCAATATTACCAAGAGTGCTATTATGGAAACATTATGACTGAATTTATAATACTGTTAATATTTATAAAACATTAATAATAACAATACACTCAACTTAATAATAAATAAAATAATGACACAATCAACAAAGGGAGTGTTAAAGAATAAGCAATAGTAATACTACATGGTGTCTGTAACATTAACATCTTCATACTCAAGAATAAAGTCAATGGATGAAGGCAATGTACATTGTTTATACATCA